TTAGTCATGACGCGATACTCGGGAATGTGTTCTAGATTGCGGTAAAAGCGCACAACTACCTTGACAGTGAGGAGAGTCGTAAAAGCTCTCCTCGTGATAAGTAGGAGGAACAGCACACGTGTTTTCTGACAGTGGCAAAATAGACCGCGTTTTTCACGTTATTAGGAGCTAATTCATGCAGAAAGTGGTCTAACCGTTGTTAGTAAAATTAGTTTAATGGTGATGTTGCGTAAGTTTGTAAATTTTCATGCCTCTGTCGACCCTTTGCTTAAACGATACTGCTGGTGATTTGTACATAGCTAGAGAAACACTTAATTCACTTTCACGATGTTTTCAGACAACTAACTGCACTGTAAATTCCAGAGTGTGTATGGTAGTAAATATGAGATTTAAAGACAGATTGTGTCAACAGGGTCGAGTGGTGACGGATGCTGGTTATGATAGTAGGTCTAAGTCAAGTGCACAACTATTTTTTTTTTGAATGTGGCAATTTTTGTTGGCATTAAGCATGGGAGGAGCAGTGCTGTGGTGAGGTGTGTGCAAAGTCGGCGTAGGAAGATGAGTGTTTGATTGGTGTTGTGTACTCGTGTTTCAGGACTGAAGCCATATGCATGTTCGGAATGCGACAAATCCTTTTCGCCTCTAATAGCCTTCGACTACATATTACCGCTATTCACAAAGGTAAGTTAATTGTATCGGTTGCGACAACTGTTGCAGAATCTTGTTTATTTGCACGCGTTTTCTAGTGTTTATTTTGGGGAAGCGGCATGCGATTTCTTATTACATGATGCGGTCTCTTTATGCTGGCTGAAGTCGTTTGTATGCTTTGAGAAATTTATCTGTATTGATGTGTCAGTCCAATGATAACACTAGATGCGTCGACTAGTTTTGTCGGTCTGTGCAATTGTGTTTTGTGTTTTGTTCTCTCACTTAAGGACTAAAGTTATATGCCTGCTCATAACGCGACAAGTCCTTTTTGCAATCTGTAAATCCTTAAGTGTACGTTGCTACAGTTCACAGAGGCATGTTATTTGAAATTTTAGCAGTCCATTTAATTGTATTTTTAAGTCAGAAGATGGTAACATCGATTCGTTTCTTTTAATAACCTGGAATTATTATCCACCAAGTGAATGCTGAATTTAACTCTAGACTGAGCATTCAGAGACGTTTGCGGATAATGTTTTACTGTGTTGGACCTATTTTCTTGATCTGTTGTTACGATGTAGCTTATGTTTTTTTAGACTTTTTGCTGAAAAAGGTTATACAGTAAACCATTGTTACATTTTATCAGTATTAATTTTTTCCCCTACAAATTCCTTTTTTTTTAATTTTTTGATATGCTAAATCACAACTTACATAATTTTTACTTCTTTTTAGGAAGCTGATGAAAAGATATTTATTTTTGTTATTGTTTTGTGTATTTTTTTTAAAATAAATCCCAGCAAAAAATGCAATTTCGGAAACCACTTTTAACTATACTTTTTCCATAAAACAACATTGGATGCTGGCATCTTTTTTGTAATATACTAGCGACTTTCAACACAATATTATTGGTCTCCACATCAAGTTGCGTATACACATTCGAGTCGCTTTCAGCGACATTTTCTCTAGTTAGCTTGTATTTTGTGGGGTTTCTCGGTATTATCGGAGTAGCCGTTTTAGTGGTTCAACAGAATTCCCTCACCACCATGCTTTGCACGCTGATTTCGTGTGTTAACCTGTCCAGGGTAACAGTAGACAATGCCACCCAAACAGCTGTGGGTTGTACTCTTGGGTTGCAAAGCTGCAAGTCTAATTACTGGGCAAATGTGCGTCAACTAATTCCTTCAGGTTAATTGCTAGTACATTTGGCAATATTGAAATCTACCCGATGTTTATTTGTAAGTATTGCCAATGAGCTGTCGAATTAACTTTTTTCATGTAAAAAATCGAATGAAACAGTTTGGGAAAACATTTATGGCACGTTTTAATTAGTTAGGAAGCCACGAAGACTTCGATGACAATGCCGTTTGTAGAAGTCCCACCCTTTTTGCGTCTTCGCATTTGTCACTACGTCAATTAGGTGCAATCAGATTCTCTTAATTTTGGAGTGGTTGATTTGTATCAAAAACCTAAGTATTTTGAGTTTGGTGCATCCCCCATGTATTTGAACTTAACACTTTACTAACAAATTAATTTCAACGCTCCCGATACAGGCTTGGAGTTCCTGCACCTAAACAGTGAACGCGGAAAGTGTAGTAGATCGTCACTTTTGGCATCAGAGCGAATTTGGCGAAACAGATCTGCCCTAATTGAGGAAACTCACAAGTTTTGCATTTTTGCCTGACATCAGTACTGGTATATTGTGTGGACACAAGTGTCGTTTGAAAATCGATAAGAGTGACTGATAAATTTGTGCGTCACTTTTCGCGGTCAATCCAAGCACGCGCGCTTGTCTTGGCGATCGATTGCCAAGCTGTAAGCTCATTGCAATCTGCTCGTGAAAGTAATCGATGATCCAAATTCTCACGGACGCCATTCATTGGCTGCGAGTTAATTACGCATACATTTCAATCAGTGAATTTCGCACATTTGCCCTAGTGTAGCTCACCTGATGCGGGAGTAGTCGATTCTGACTGCCTTGACGTGTCGTCTTTTCACCTACCAGCCACTACGCAATTTTTGTTGAAAGTTAACTCGTTATTAAAAGTTGGTCTTTTTTGTGCACCTGTAGTCGGTTCTAACGATTTATATTCTCAATGTCCTAAAAAATCAACCTAGTGCGTAAGTTAGTATAGCAAATTTGACCGTACTGAACCTAGCATAATGAAAATATAGTTACTGAAAACGGTTTTCCCTAGCAAGCAAATAAATCAGCTAATTTGGTAGGGTGACAGCAAGCTATAGTTATAGCTATGAAGCGTTGAACTGAGGGACCATGTGACGATAAAGATCTGTTGATATGCCTTCAAATCATTCGGTTCAGATTATTGATTAATTTGTATTTACCTGTGTTGTATGAATACGCTGGAGGCAGTTATGTGGAAAATTACTAAAAAGTTAACATTAGTATCTTCATTGCCAAACTTATTGAAAGAATTACAAGCATGTTTATAAAGAGACGCATAGAGAAATGAACAAGTATTTGACAATGATAATCGTGTTCATTTTGTGCAGCCTAATTCAATGACCCTATTCTAAATTAGCATCTCTCAAATTTGGTATTTTCTAGTAATTTTCTTTTAGATGCAGTGCACTATGGTTAATATTCTGTGGTGTACAAGGTACGATTCAGTGGACTATTTGCCTAACTTCAATTTTTAGACATTCATTGTGTAAATCCCTTTACTGGTCTCATAGATGAAAATGTTTCTAGAAACTAACGTTTGACACGTTATAATGGGGAAAAGCATCGAGTGTTTTAAAGGAAATGCACGGTCCCTGAGTCTACTGGTTCGGCCCTGCCCTTCGACGCATCCGCAGAAGCCACTGTCTAAAACAAAAACAGCAAGGTGTTATTCGTCTGACGCACCAATTTAGGCTTTCAAATAATGCTGAATGGAAAACATAATTTGCCACACTCTAGGGACTCTTGTGTAGTTTGTATTCATCATAATGTTGAATACAAGTTGACATAACCTCGCAAGCCTTAGGGCAACGTCTTTTTTGCCTCGATGGGAAAATGCATGAAAGCGGATGCACAAAGGTGAATAGCGGGACCCCGTCGTAGCAAGAATTTACGGGTTTTAAAATTAATAAACTTACCTAACTATCCGCGGAGTGCTCCGAAGCAACTGCTTAAAGTTGGCCATTTGACTGCTAATTAACCGGATGATCGGTGTTAGAATGCACAAACCAGCTGCCAGGTACGTCCAAAGCTCAACTGATCGCACCTTGAAAAAACACAAAAAGGTTATTCTGTCCGGCCTGGCATTTTCAATCTGCACTACAACTTTTTACATGCATCCGCGTTTTTGTGAATGGGTAATATTAACCGCATAGGCGTAGCGGTGCCTCAGTACGCAAGTTCATTGGTAGTTCTACGCAAAGATGAAGAGAATTCGTCCTGATTAACTGTAACAGTATCCAATCATGATCCCCACTGCCTTTTATTTAGGCTGAAGTTCACGACTAGTTAGATCTGATTGATTAGCTTGACTTTATAGCCTCGGTATCTGCGCAATTTCACCGTGGCATCATGGCATTGAAGGTAATTTGACTGTCAGTTTCCCTAAATGAGGTGTACACGGATTTTGTTGTTGTGTTTATCAATAGAAAGTTAATTTTACAAGCGAAATTGTTTTACGTCCCAGACAGAATATCCAAAATATCAACTTCTGATTCCGTTTGTTTACTCATGGTCAGATAGTACAGAAATATTTTACAAATAACACAATGTTGTGGGTCCCAGCATGTGGTCTTGAACCACATTAGGACTACGGAATTAACCCTGGCCCGATTACGTTTCCCTGATACCAGCGATGAAGAAACAAACAGGAGAGGACGTGGATATAACCGCTTACTTCAGAGCTCAACCAGAATTGGTGTCGTTGTGTCGTATGTGGGGTTTGCGCGTGTGCATTTATACCTCGGATGCGTGAGTCATAGATGTGCTAACATCGAGACCTAGGTGTGGGGACACTCCAAGATAAATATTCGCATGAATGAATGGGGAGTTTAGGATTAGTGCAGCTGGCGCTATGCTGCGAAACGAAGAACCCTGTGTAGGAGGTGGTGGAGCGACTGGATTAGGGGGTTGAATAAACACGATTCACGACATCAACATGTTAATCTAACTGACGTTTCTTATAACTAAAGTAAAATTGCTCAACTGTAAGTGAGAAGACTGTCAAAAGTAAGTTGATGGAAAGGCAATGTCCCGTGATTATTTGCTTGTTTTCTGAGGCAATGAAAGTGTAAAATTAAAGCTGCCATTAACCGACGCCAAGGCGAAAAGCAACTTTGTGTTTTCTGCTTGCGATAAACACACCTTGATCGTTAACCAAAGCAAATTGTCGTTACGAATGTTGTGGCTCAAACCCCCACATCGCCGTGCGAAAGTCATTACTCGCGAGGCAAACACATATCCGAAACGTTCCATCAAGTTGAATGAAAATTGTTGCGAATTTTAATTCAAAATCTTAACACTTTGAAATGCTTTTTTGTCCTGTTTGTCTGATCCATTCGCTCAAAGCATTCACAGTATCAACAGTAAAAACTGTCGCGGCCCATCTCCGAAAACAGAAGTGATCGTTCTGGTGTGCGGTCAATGTTCAAAAGGGTGGTGCATTTCAGCCTGCTTTCAGTTCTGCCTTCAATTAATTTCCGATTTCACTTAGAACTTGGGACAATTTTTTTTTAAAATAATAACCAGGGTTCATTTCTATCCCAGCATTCAAGGTCACTTGCATGTGGCTGCGCTTTTATTGATGTCGTGTTATGAAATTTAAAATAAGCCATTAGTATACTTCGATTGTTTGCTAAAAATAAAGCAGGTAATCTTAGGAAAGTTTTAATGCCAACTTACAAAATAGAAGAATTCGTCAAACTCGAAGGATTTGGACACATACATGAAAACATGCCAGACGCCAAGAAAAATAGCAAAATTGAAGATGACGATGACGTAGGCGAGTCGACGGAGGCCGGACAGGGCTCTGCGCACCTCTGATGGCGCTGGTTTGGTCTCGCTGAGACGCGGCGAAAAACGCAGATCTGTTTGTCTAGGTCGTGGAGAAATCAGTTCAATAAGTCAACTTTAACTGGAGAGACTGTCTACTATTAATTAAATCAGTAGCACTTTTTAATTGAGTTCACGCATGGCGTAACTTACAAAAGCTCTGCCCGAACAGATGATGCAGTTTACTATAACGTTCTACTTTTGTAAAAGGCCATGCCTCGTTCATGACTTTGTTTACCGAGAAATGTGATTTACCAGGATTTCTTCCAAGATGTACAAAAGAGTGACACGGTTTGCATACCGTTTTACAGGAAACACGTTGATGGTAAGCAATCAGTGAATTGATGCTTCACCACTAAGATTATTTTATCAAATCTCATAATACGGAAGTACGAACAAAGACTTTCAAATCATGAAATGCACAAAGGAACGTTTGACAAAATTGGCGCATTCCATAAATGGTTGGTTAGCCATTGAGTGGGCGTTGCTGATCCCAACTGTAGTGGGACGTCAACATAGGCACATGAACGGAAACTTGTTCGAACAAGTTAACGGCAAGCTGATTGCCTGTTGTAAATCATCCTCACTTTTCATTGGCAGCCGTTCTAGTGTCCTCCATAGACACGCTCACTCACGCGTGTACAGCGGCACCAAATGAGTAGAGGGATTTATAAACAGTTGTAAGTGCCATATAGGATAGCGCTCTCATTCCCTTTTTGGTGACATGCTTGTGGTGTAGCGTACTTGCAAATACCCTTTGCCTTGAGCAGATCATATTCTAAGGTATTCAGGGTTGCATCTTATGTAAATTTAAACGACCACATGTTGTGTAATGCTTACAGGGTATTTTCACCCAAGGTCTCACGGTTGATAAGCAAATTTGCGGCCCTCCCCATTCATGCGGGTAGAAAAATTTTGATTCAGGGAGTTGGCAAGTTGTAGCACTATACAGTCATTGCAGGGCACTTTATCGACAGACGCCTCACCTGGTGAAGAGTTCAGGCCATGGAATGAGCGGATTATCGATTTGTTGAACGGATCTCCACACGGCGAGTGTCACTTCCTGCGAAGGTGTTTTAGTGGTAGCCAGAGTTATCACTATAGGGACGATGAAGCCGCCGGCAAAGGCTACCGTCAGAGCAATGAGCTGAATTTTCATCATTTCTTTAAGAAAAATCAACGGATGTTATGTATAGATCAACTAGATAAGGTGTTTGAGAGTACTGATAGCATTACAGTTACTTCAAAAACGAAGGGTAACTGGGATTTTTTTTGTGACATTTACATTTCAAAGAAGCAAGCGTCCAAGGAATGAATGGGATTCTTGTTCCTTATTGACTGGGAGAGAGCGACTTGCCCAATTCTGAAATGTTGGCCTCCCCGATTTTCAAGTGGGCTTTTGCCTAGCACCCCAAAGTATCTACGTGTGCATTATAACCTCCAAAGTTTCTGACTCATTTATTGTCATTTTAAGCTCACAGTGGAATATCAAACTCACATTCACATATCGTTTTTCGCGTAGTTTTATTCATTCCTGAACCTACGCTAGTCATTTGGAGGATGCCGTGTTGATAGTTTAATCTGACTCATGACTTACTGACCAATCGCATAACGGTTGTTTATTGACGTTCGCTGAATAACACTATTGGACAAGCACCCTGATCCAATCGAAGCAGGGAAGAATGCAAATAGATTACGCGGATGTACTTCCATACCTTTGCCTACTTTTTCGTGCCCTTTGACACACAACTCTACAACAAATAGTTTGATAACACACTTTTATGTATCGAATTCCGTTAAAATTAGTATCTAGCATGCCTAGCCTACCGAGCGACGTGAAGTTATCAAGCAGCAGCCATAGCGCCAAGGAGATCAATGTGCTGACGGTGTAGCCAATCAGGAAGGCATGATTTGTGAGGCGAGCCCAAATCATGGTCAGACAGAGGCAGCCAATGAACGGGGTGCATATACCAAAGTAGATAAAATTTACGAGCTGCGAAAGTATAAAAAAAAGTACGATAAGTAATCCAAACAATTCAAATTTAGACCAACACAATTTTCGATTTCATCAGTTTAATTTCAGTACAGTCATCGACATAATCTGTTTGGAAAATCCTACACACTCACAGCATTTATTTACTAAATTGGTTACAAAAAGGAGGATTGAATGAATTTTCTAGTTTGAACTAGTTGGCTTAATTTTATCTATAAAAACTAAGAAATTTCTTGCTTCTTAAGGAATTCTGTAAAGACTTAAGCACAACAGGAATTATTTTTTACTGTTTTGCATTAATGGCTGTTCGAAAAAATTAAACTCTTATGTGGTTCTCAAAGGGTGACCATCGTTCTACAAGGTGAATTAATTTCAGCAAAGGCAGTTCAAAAGCTTTCCGGGTTCAGTTTAAGTGGACTGGTCACGTGCTTTGAGTCTTGGGCTAAAGCGGCAAATTGTGTATTCATGCACTTTATGGCTGTATGAAAAGGGTTTATAGTCACCTCTACTTTGTACAGCATGATGAAAATTGGAATCATTCCCGCCATGACCGTGAACGTGATGCGAAGCACACTGTACGACATTTCGTCCTTGTAGGCCCTGTAGGCACCGTGAGTTCGGCATCCGTAGAGCAGCGTCGAAGACGGTCTGCTCTTGCACTGTTCTCTTATCCTTGAAAAGGTGCGAAAGATGGATATTTTGAGCTTACTTCGTGCCATTAGATGGGGATACAGAACACATGACTTACTACGATGTCTGACCGACTCACACACCGCCTTCATTTCATTTTTGAAACAATGTAAATTGGGTTTCTACCAAAGTAGCCTACTTGTCGCTGATTCCTTGAGCGGTGTTCTACCTTACACTTTGAATTTCAGATATTCGTGAAAAACGAATCGTACAACTCTTCCGTATCCAGATTTCTAGATTTTGATTGAAAATGCTGGAAGGGGTGAAAGCGCTTGTTTTTAAGCAGAATATATAAACCGTTATCCAGAAGGCTTGAATTAGGTCCATCGATTCGACCTCAAAGATGGTTGTCATGACGCCTCACTGTAACTCAACAGCAGAACATGCACTTTTACACTGAAAATCCCGCTCGATTTGTTCTGCAGTCAGCAGAAAGGCAAAATACAAATGGGGAGAGATAAGATCCGGACGTACCAAGTGTCCATTTGGCAGTTTGAACACTCGAGCATGCTGCGGCAGCGACAAATGTTTCGTCGACTAGCCAGGTGACCACGTGGCTTCCCGCACAGAAGGCAGGTGTGTTCGCTCGCGTGTTTTTTGAAGGGCTACGTTGGTGAAACACACAAACGACAATGTAAGGTGCCTGACTAGAAAGCGTCAACTGATAAATCCAGCTAGCCTTTAGTATTCTATGTCTAATTCCTGCTAAATTCTGAAGAAAGAACATTATATGCGGTGGTGGCGACAGCTGACAATTCAAATCGCTTTGTGAACGATCCGCTTCCCATCTACTTCGAAAGAAGCCATGTTGCAAATTAGGATCACCACAGTTGACTGGAGGTTAATAGCTCATCCCGCGGTACACTTTGCGGCTAGCATTATATTGAGAATGCAGGCTGTCAGCTAGATTTTGTATTAAACGTTTCGATCTGCACTCTTATGGTTCACCACAAGACAGCTGTCGCCTCTGTGTCCTTTTTAATGTCAATTCTGGCCCCTTTCTGCAGTGCCTTGTGAATCCAGCCAAGGCCGAAAGATCTCTGAGCAATTGGACACCATTAATTCTGAGCTGATGAGTTAATTTAAGTGATCACATTTCAGATCTTAACCATGCACGAACTTCGTGACTTTCATTTGTTCACTTCCTTGTGTTAAAGAGTGTGTGGTTAGGCTACACTCGTATGCTCGTATCCCACAAGTACGAATTTCACCTCATTCCTAAGAAGATTAGGATTGTGGCAATCAGCTGTTGTGAACGAACACGACTCAATCGATTTACGTGAAAGCACTTCACGTTACTCCGTTCGATCAGCGAGGCTATATAAGCGCACTTATAATCTTGTACAAACACACACACACACACTGCTGCTGCTGCCTCAGTAAATTATGCCATCTACACTCCATCTGCACTTTTCCATTCTTCTTTCAGTCGGGCCGTGTCGACGTAGATTGTCGGCCCTGGTGTGGTTCCCAAAACAGCACTGGGCCCCCGCAACAGGGTGAAGGGAAGAGGTTTCTCATAACCAGTCGGGTCCATGGCGAGAGGGTCATCAAACCCAACCCCACGTCTTCTTTGAAGGCCGGGCAGAGTATTCGGTTAACGTGATCCAACGACTAAGGAGTATCTCACCCTAATGTAAGTCTCCAGGATGTCATGATAGAAAATTGTCGCGGCTCCACTGATATTGTAAATGGAGGAAGTGACCAGGAGAATGAGGACCACAAAGAAGACGAGGTACGCGCCTTGTCTCTCCAGCAGGTGTATTGGAACCGCGAAAATGGTCAGACCTGCAGCCGATGAAAAAAATCACCATCGATCTCCACACACATTAAACCAGCGCATCCAAACTAAAGGTTTTGACCTCAAAAATTAGAACAGAGGGCGATCAACACAGTTTCATAATGTGATAGATATCTTGGTATGCTTTAATGTCGTGGCACAGTAGGCTAGACTTCCAAGAGTTTAACCTTGCACACTAAATAGATGTTTTAATTCGGATAAATCATAGAACCCTTGTAAATTTTGCCTCAGCCTTGTAGTCAAGATTGAGTACGTGCCTTACTTTTGTGCTTAATTTGGAACTGAATTACAACAAGGAACGTTTTCCTGACAAACCTTTGCTGAGTAATAAATAATTTACTTCTCATCAGGTCCTGTGATCATCTATAAACGCTTTACTAGTTTTATTTGAATTGCACTTTGTTATTCAAATTATATTTCAGAGAACGAGGAAGATAAAATGCGGACGGTCAAGTTCAGGGAAATAAACGAATGCTGGAGGAATGTGCATTATAAGTGCCTCAGTTTCTTGGTATCTGTTAAAAGACGTGCGGTTTACTGTATTTATAATGAATGCTCATGCTACTACGCAGTTTAGGTTGACTTTAAACACTGAGATTTACTTCTCTGGTTAATACTGGCAACGAAACCAAGTCCTTAATAGATAATCCCTTGCAACCTCACCACCAGTCACATAACACCGCTTTTTGTTGGTGCAATTTAGCCTGTGCCACAGATTCCGCTTGTTCACATACACGCTTCCAGCATTTTTACCCTATTATGCTTTAAGGCAAAGCACATTCTTCTATCCACAGGGAAGGTCGTTTTGTTGACTCGCGGGGAGAGTAATTACCGTGAAGACACATTTGAGTTTTTTAAATTCTGTCAAAACACGTGTTGAAGGGTATTCGGGTTCCTAACTAACCTAAGAGCTAAACCACAATCCAAAAAACCTTTGAGACCACAATCCAATCAAACGTTTGTTGTGGGCCCATCCATGTGGTCTTGAACTACGCCGGGGCCACTGACTTAACCCTGGCCCAATTACGCTTGTCTGATACCCGCGATGAAGAAAAACAATCGGAGAGGACGTGGACACAACCGTTTACTTCAGAGCTCAGCCACTTTGGTGTCGTTGTGTCGTGGGTGGGGTTTGCGCGTGTGTATTTATATCTCAGATGCGTGAGTCATACATGCGCTGACACCTAGACCTAGGTGTGAGGATAATCCAAGGTAAATATTCGCATGAATGAATGGGGAGTTGAGGATCGGTGGGGCTGCCGACAAGCTGCGAAAAGGGGGTCTCTATGTCGGAAGCTGAAGTAATCGAATTAACGAGTGTAAATAAACGCGTTCACAACACGTCCTTAGTATTTTTTTTGCAGTTCCAACACTAACAACATTTTTAAACTCAACGTGGTTCCGCTTTTCAAGGGTTATTTTGAATCACCAAGCATTTAGGCAATTATCGGTTATCTATATGATAAAAAAACAACATCAACGCACTAGGAAAATCGTCAGTTATTCAGTTAAATGATCATAGACTGAAAAAAAAATATAATAGCATTCCGTATTCCAATCTCTATTGAGTGTATGCCTGGTGAAAATTAGGAACATCACGTGTTCCTAATTCGTAAATACATTGTTGTCAGGCTTCTGTGCATTCAAACTTATCTCCTCATAATTCCTACCTGAACACTTACGATCGTCAGGTCTTTGAATTATTGATTCAAATGACTATCGCTGCAACGACTGAGTGGTGGGCCCCAAGTCATTGGCTGTTGTATAAATAACGCATTTTAGTAAATTTCAACTAATTTGCTTCTTTCTATTGCAAGTTTTTTGCTGTCCTAAAAGGCAATTTACTAGATCACCAGTTATTCTCGTTTTCATTGAAAAAGTCCGAACTAGGATTGTGGATGCATGATGCTAGTTTCGTCTTTAAACTTATCGTTTGATTCAGTTCGAAAAACTCACCGGACAACTTCTGCGTGCTTGTGAGAAGCACTTCGTTGAAGAAGGCAGACTCGAGGGCGAGAAAGCCCAGACCACAGGCGATGCTGAGTGCGGCGGGGATGGAGAAGGCCAGGAGGGTGGCCAGCAGCAGACCGATGATGCTGTGGTTCGGAGGCAGGCTGATGGCCAGCTCCCACAGCGACTGGTCCAGCACCACACGAACGATGCGAACTCGGGTGACAAAAGAGTGTACCAATAAGATAGCGCATTAAGGTCTAATGCCTTAAAGTTCAATTACTAGTTTCCAATTTAGTTCACCTTCAATTTTAAGAGTCGTGCACAACCGTATGAGTCGGTTTTTCCCTTGTGTACTTATCGCGTCAATTTAGATGGCAGTGTGTACACGCATGCGCACAAACGCCCAATACTGTGTGATATAAAATCCGTCTTTTGTTTTCTTCAAATTAAATGAATTTTCCAAATAACCTTAAAAAAACCGATCCTTGCTCGGGATTGGGCGTTCAATTCAAACTATCGGCTTTATCTGAGTAGTTAGGCGAAAGAAATCAAAGTCGGAAGCACGCAAGCTTCATTAAATGAAGTTAAATAAAAGAATGACCCTTGTGCTACATTCATTATCATATTATATGCAAAAGCAAGGCTTTCAACCAAAAAGGCAGAAATTTTATTGGACAGAAATCGGCCAGCCTGAATCCAGGATACAGCAAATGTCATTACACGAAATGCTACTGTTATTTAACCTCCGGTAGTTATCTGACGCATTTATTCATGTTTTTTTCATATCTTCTCTACGTTATCTGCATCTCGCGTGATTCTGAATTACTGTGGAGTGCTATAAAAACGCATTTAGCAGTTATTTATCAACGCTAGCTCAGCCTTCTATTTCTTCATGGTGAAAAGTACTTCAATAACGAAAAAAAGAAAATTTCTCAGCCACCACCTTTGGTTGAAAAAAGAAGTAAGACTGTAGGCTTGAAGTTTGCTGCGAGTTTCTTGAAAACTCCACATAAAACCACCGCCGCCGCTTATGTGTTACTGAAATAGCTCTCAGTAACTCTCAGGCACGCATTATTTTCAACGTACATGCGCTAAAAGTTGTCATGTGTTACCTAAAGGCCAGTACGACCACAGTCGGTCAATGCTTGAGATGAAAACAGCGGCGTCGTGCAAGCGTTTTACGCACTCGCAAACCGTGAGGTAGACTCAGCTAAGTGTACCCAGGGCTAAGCACATTGCCAATTCTTACAGTAAACGCTCCAATTCCTGTTTATTTAAAAACATATTCTTCCTTGGTGAATAGTTTGAAACGCTAGCTGTAATTCTTCAGAGCCATGTAAAATTCACTTCTGGTGAATGAAAATCAGTGCATTCATATTCAAACGCATGAGAAATCCCGCACATGTTTTACATTCAATCGTATTTTATTAATAAAATCTAGCCTGTACCATGACAACTGAACAGACTAAAGGAAACTATGGCAATATTTTTTTACAAAGCGTCCAATATACATTTGTTAGAACACCCACATACCAAATCAAGACAAAAAGACCTTATGTACTTCTCAAAATCTAGTGTAAAATAAATAAATTCGTTCGCATTTTAAACTAAGGTAGTCCGTTTCAATTAATTGCTGATACGTAAATCGAGTGAAGGATCCAGTGAATATCATGTTCGATAAAAAAAAAACAAGCTTGCTTAGTGAGATCAAAATCACGTGCTTCTTTCAATTTAAATAACGACCTGACATACAAATTAGATTGCAGATCTCCTCTATAGTGAATCCTTCACTTGGTCTATCCAAAACACTTTCTGTGGAGCCGTTTTGGAGTCCGCGAAAGCACAACAGGAGTCTGTAGAACCTGTCAATACTTCCTGAAAAGTAAGCAAGCAAGCGATACCAAGCACGTCCATTTTATACAGTTAGCACCATTTAAGTTAATTTTAAATTGGTGACTGTACCGTGATCAAGGTTTATGCCCTACGTTGTCAAATATTTTCACGGACCACCACATGAGCCCTGACAATCAGTAAGGGTACTGTGTGGCGAGCACGTTCATTTGTGACTAGTGACCTAAATTCGACCTAAATTCGACTCCAGATAAGCAGCCGTTTCTACACGTCTGGCTGTAGAATTGTCTTCACGCATCAGCCATTTGAGGGGCCGTTGAAACTGACGCCAAGGACTCACCTCCTTCCTCAACGTCACATAAATATTGGAATAAGGGTCCATGTTGGTGGCATGATTATAGGGGTCTCCTTTAAGGGAACCAAACTGTTGTCATTTTTTAAATTATATAAACGCTAACACTATTTTGAAACACCTTTTTAACCCAGCAGTTTGGGCTGCCAGGACCCTTGCTTGTATGTAAGTGGAAATGTTAGTGTCTGTAGCAAGCAGAAAGCGAACGCAGTTAGCAAGCATGAGCGAGCGTGATTAAATTGGCCTAACGTGAATGCATCCTACGTGAAGTGTCGCCTCGCGGACTGGAACCACCGCCTCCTTCCTATGAAACACCATCGCCCGTGGAGAGGCAGGCTTCACCTGAGGTTAGCATTTCTGCTCGGCATTGCTTCTGCATCGGCATTAAATTGAATCGCAAGATAAACGATATCTCCCTCGTAAGGCTGCATGGGACAAGCACAGTGAAATAGCAACGTGTTTCACAACATCGATCGGGAATTACTTATATTGAGTGATTGCTAAACTTCCTGCAGGTTTGTTTTCCTATGGAAGCATGGACGTTTCACCTTGCTGATGCTGCTTTTATTCTCACACAATTACCTGACATTTATGTAAAAGCGTTGTGGGTCAACATCGCGTGTAAAAGTGGCATTCAAAAATTAATTGTGCACAGGGTCAGGAAATTGGAAAGCAAGAAGTTGGTAACATCTGTGGCGAGCAGAATGCGATCACAGCAGTCGTGAGCGAACATGATGCAATAAGTTTGCTTGAATACACTCTACATAGCTGTGTTCGTTCAGGGATCGATGTTTAGCAGGGATATGTATAAACTGACTTGGTACTTTGCACGCTCACGCACACACCACTACTGCTAGGATAAATTACTTGAGCTACGCGCTATCTGCATTTATACACTGCATTGGGTCGGGTCGTGTCAACGTAGATCATCAGCCCTGGTGTGGTTCTCAAAACCGCAAAGGGGCCCGCTGCAAATCAAGCAACTACATTATCGTTATAAGTTGCCAGGACAGTCTCCCGTCACTACAACACCAGACGCATTGATAGCAAAACAACAATAACTCGTCAAAGCCAGTTGTGTGTGTAGACCTACCCAGCGGGTAATAGCTGGAGGCGTTTAGCACGAGTAGCAGGAGAATGGAGGTGATAACGACTAGAGCTGACATCATTAAGTAGAGGAACACGCCATAGCTTTTGCGCCACGTCATCAGGAGGAAGGCGCCAACCAAAATGAAGACAAAAGAGATGATGGCTGTTTTGCCCGCGGTTCTGCACACCGCGTTAAGAGTTGTTGATCCAACTGAAAAGGCGAAATCCACCCAACACTGTGGTTTGAAAATAAACCGGCTGTTGAATTACTTCACCTACGTGTGTGTGTGCCCTCACAACGGGCAGCGATGTGAGTTGACGGTTGCATGTTTGCCACAACGCTACCACTGGTGCCATTGAAACTTCAGCCATGAAACAGGCCACAAATTCCTACGTGCACACATGCAGTTTCTAGACTTATCTACTATTTCTGCCGTATAAAAGCCAGCACCAAATCAAACAAAGTTTTAATCCAGTATAATTAAAATAAAAGCCAAGAAAGTTGTCTGAATGCCTAGTTTGTTTTTGAAAAAAGTTGTTTTCATCTCCGCCATTTTCTTTTGCCATCGTCTTCGCTGATGTCATTTTGAGGATAAATTTGTTTAGAAGCAAACATAATTTTGGATTTTTAACGTATACTATAACCCAGTTGTAAAACAAGGGATTAATCCAGACCAATTACCCCCTTCCAATTAACCTAAATGATTTTTACCACCATTCTGGCAACCTCGTGATCATTGGCATTTAGGACCTCATTGTTAGTCGGGCTCACAATTTAACCATTCTGACGGTGCAGTTTAAGGTGTGTAAGTAACCAATCACCATAAAGGCTTGGTGGGATACAACTCCCTATTGATTTTTAATTTTTAAACATTTTTATTTGTTTCCAATTTATTATTAATCCATTATTGACAGAAGTCGTGTGTATTTGAGCAGGCTCCTGTTTAGTACAATTCGATAACGCGTTATTTATTGGTTCGAGTAAGGATTATGCAGTATTAATCATCAGTGGTTTTAATGGATTGTCATAAATACGGACTTATTGAGGTTCACAACAAATACATAATCGGCTTAAGTAGGTCTATCTGCATGGGAGTCAAATTTGGGCGAATCGTTTTGAGCAAATTTGCTACTTTTTTGTACTTTTATGCATATTTCTCCTCGAGTGTCAACAAATTTCTTGACTTCGCAGAACCAGATGAAAGAAATTCTGCTTGTTCGCACATGCTGTGTTATATCTGACATCAAACCAGCAGACATTAGCACGATTAGCAAATCAGAAAAAAAGCGTGTCCATTTTATTTTTTTCAATTCAAATCTTGGACCGATACACGCCTATTTTTCAAGCAGGCAGCGTTGCAGCGTGGATGTTGATGTTTGTAGCTGAGATCAAAAGAACTGAAAATTAACCAAGAAGCTAAGACCATTTGTTTAGGACAGAAATAGAATCAAGTTTCATATTGTGACAATAATATGACAATCAAAGCCACCTATTTTAGCCCTGTTTTATGAAATGCTTGATGATATCCGTTGCTGACGGTTGCCGCATTGTATTGCCGCTTAAACCAGAAAACGTAATCACACAATACTGAATACAGGAATACAGGAACATGCATTACCGCTGACGTCAACGATGAGCTCGAAGGTGCTCGTAAAGATGGTGAAGATGACGGTGAGGATGTGGCACACCGTCCCAAAACGAACTCTCACGAATTGTGCCAACGTCTGGGCACCGGGAGCCTTTGTCCTGAACTCCAACAGTATCAGAGTGAAAATGGTGTAGACGAGAACGCCGTTCGAAGACACGTACATACAGCCTGGGAGTCCGTACTACAAGGAGACCAGACAGGCCAAAACGCGTGCTCAAAATATCTACGCGTGCTCCCTGATTCAAGAAAAACATTGATTGCCTTCACATAGTTGTCCATGTTACCTTGGTTACTTATTGAGCCTGCTTTCAAGATGTAAGTCAAAAATGGCTAACAATAAACGTTAAATTTTCCGGGATAAATTTTAGCATCCTCAAATAGATAACAAATACAGGGAGGCTTACAACGTTGGCAATCATGTATGAGAAATCACGATGTCAGCACCAATGATGAATTTAACCAAAATCAAATTCTTTTCTGTTTCTCAAGGAATTTTCCTATATGAGACTTCTACGCAGAGCTCTGAGATAAGCAGATCTAAGGGATGTGTTTGAGGTATTTTGGGGGTGGGACTTGTTCTAATAATGTTTTTAATTTAAATTAGTGATTTCAGATGCAAAATTTTCATATCGGAAAGCAAAAAAAGTAAACTTTAGAGAAGTTGGACATCAAACAATTTTCCATTAGATGATTCCTGCGAAGTTATTCAATTCTCTTCTCCAACCTCTAGACACATATTCTCTGAATTGGACCTGATGCCAGGTCTAGATTAGGGGAAAAATTGAATTTACGCACTCTAAGGGAATACTCACTGTTAATGATTAGTGCCAAGCTAAACAAAATTACAAAAAAGAAATGATGCAAGTTCAGCTCACGTGTTGCGTCCTTAATAGCCTCTAAAACTAAGTTCTAGATGCGAGAGTATTCCGGCATTCATTAATTCTATCCCGAGAACCACTAATATATTCCTTTATACATGAATAAATCCATTTTTTCTTTTAACGCACTTCAGCAAGATTGAGTAGAAGTCTAGTTAGGATTTACTGCGTGTAATTTACCATTTCAGAATGCCTGATCGCCTCGAACACGGATGTTGGCCAAGTCAGTTGCGTCATAAACCTCGCGACCACAATCCCAAGATTTGGCGGTTCGTTGGCGTCACTTAAGAAACCGCTTCCCACGTTTGACTGTAAAAATCAGACACGAAGAATAAAGGTAATGCAACCAGTTTATTTTCCTGTGTTAATTAAAAGTTTATTCGGTTGTTGAAGACAAAAACCAGAAGCACCGATCAAAGTTTTGAGGGGTAAGAAGAAAAGGGAACAGAATATTTCACATGATTTTCTTGAAATTCAGTGAAAAGTTTTCAAATATTAGAGTGTATCGAAAGCAAATTACCACGAAGCCGCCACGTTTTCCAGTTTAATCTGCATTATGATACAAAAAGAAATTTTGATTCTAACGAATTTAAGAGTTTATATGAAAAAAAAAACGAGTTCTTTGCATCAGTAAATGTTTAGCAATGACGGGACTGATAAGGAATGCGACCTTGTCTGATAAATGTAACCAACGGCAGACATATCTGAAGACACTTATGTGATGCGAACACGCAAATTCAGACGTGATGCGGCGCGTGCCCTGCGGTTGCGCGGTTTTAGTTTTGCGTTGGCAGAAGAAACCTCGATTCTCTTTTTCATTCATTTAAAAATACCTTAGTTAAGGTAAACTTTAATCTCTCGCGTTCTCGTACAAGTTAACTGGTGGAAATTGCGGGAGTACGAGTCTTGCATGTGTCCCGAATAGCGATGCCAGATAACGACTACCACGTCGTAAGAGCAACATTAGTTGCTGCAACTGCAATAATGAACTGGACTAGCTGAAGCAGATTCCACGACCCTGGTAACGAATTCATGACAAAGAACTAAACACCACTCCACTCAGCTCGGGAATTTTATGTGGGTTCGGTATGCACCATAAGAGCTACCGTTTAATCAAAACTTAGTTACCCCCTGAAAAACATACTTTCTGCGATCGCCTTGTGACCAGTGCATAGACGACATCGACGATCAGAGCCGCCAGAAGGGTTATCACGGCAATGCACACTAAATCGCTAATGGTCAGCTCCACCGACTTCTTGGTGTTGAAGGTCTTCTGCAGATTTCGACAGGTCACCTCTACAGGCGTCAGGACTCGTCGACTCAAATTGAGCACCTTGCTGCGTGTCGCCTGAATCTCTACGTAGGACGCAAACTCCATGGTGTCGCGCCGACAACGCTGCTCACGCCGGGTGTCTTTTATTTATTTGGTGACGAGGTTTGCGTGACGGTGACCACTCTCGTAGGGTCATAATGGAAGCTGGGCGTAACCGTGTTAAGAAAGGTTTCATAAATGAGCTCTCACTGCATCCTAAACAAAAGTCGCGCCTCACCACCATCCTTTTATTGGTTTTTCATCGCCTAGAACTTTAACTGGAAATTCACTTAAGCCACCTAGACTACTGTTAATGATCTTTTAAAGAGGAAGCGGCAGTTGGCTTACTATAAGCGTCGTTTTTGGAATTTAACGGTATACAAAAGATGAAATTCATTTTAAAAATCTTGACAGAAATCGATTTTGCCACGTTGTGGGCGAAACGACAGCAACTACTAGCATGATCGGTTGTGTAGTTGACATCGAAAACCGCTTCTTTAATTGGACAATACAGGTGCAGAAACATGGAATGCATTGTATGGACCTTTTTGATGATGCATGTGGTCGCGACTTGAAACTACCTTTATTGATTTTATTGTACTGGTTTACATGTGGAAAATTGACATACTTATAGGTTTGGTGTATTCCGTCTTCCAGGAGTCAATTCTCGGGCTTAAAGACAGATCCACCTCACTGAAATTAACCATCAACAGGAATCCACCAACTCAGTAAGGTAACGCGCGCCATTTGTATTCAAATAAAAAACCAGTCGTTCACAGAGGCCACATGCGTACTGGCCTGACCACCACGTTCAACCATCGACCGCTGCCAGACGCACGTGATCGCACGACCTTCGCTGCGAACGATCACACCACACAACCATAGCTCCCACAAATCAAGGCCACCATGGACGACAAAGCGGTGATATCTGGTGGCAGTGCAAACGACCTGGAGCTGGACGACCTTGAAACCAACAATAATTCCCACGAAGCCACCGCAGATGTCATGTTAAATCAGGAGGCATCCCCCATAGGCAGGCCTCAGCCCCCACAGACACCACAGCAAGGCGACTTGAGCCTCGTGGTCCAGTCCATCAGGGAAGTCGTCTCCTGCTGTGCGTGCTTCAATTCGGACTTTGGGATGAAGGAGTGTGCCAACGGCCACCTCCTCTGTCCCATCTGCTTTCTCACCTTGCGACAAGATGACCACCCCCAGTGCCCCACGTGTCGCGCCGTCCTCTACCCCGACACCAAACGAGCCCTGATAGCGCAGAAAGTCCTCTCTGAACTGCCCGACCCGTGTCCAGCTTGCGGCCAGGTAATGCTGCACAAGGATCTCGTGGGGCACAAGCTCAACGACTGTCCGAAACGCCGCGTCTCCTGCGGTCTGGCGCCCCTTGGCTGCGCGTGGTGCGGCTGCGCCGAGGACTACCGCAGTCACTACGCCGAATGCAATGTCAGACAAGGCTTAAGGGAGAACTCGCTGGAAGAGAGCTTGGACAATGTGTTGTCACGATTTCGACGCAGAGAGCAGATGCTCAGAGAGACGTTTACCTGCTTCTCAGCCATCTTTCGACACCTCGAGGGCTACGAATTGCAGTCAGTGTGCGTGGTTCTCTCGGTATCACGAGTTACACAGGGGAGGTTGGTGTTTAAGAGCGACCAGTTCCACAGTAGTCAGTCGCGGTGGACTGTTAAGTTGGCAGTTCGGTTTGAAGACGATCTGGTCGAAGACTTGACTGCCGGGGAGGTCGGGATTCCGGAAGACACGGACGATCGACAGACAGCTGGCGCCGGCGCAGACAACAACGAACAGATGAACAGCTCACACACTCCGAGCGACGAGAGCACACAACTGGGCAATGAGAGTCCCAACTCGACCCTCCGTCCAAGGAGGATATTTCGATTCGCGGGGGCACATCGCACCCGGCCCTACCCTGATTGGCGCCACACACGCAACGGCAATAGCAACACCAATAATATTGCCGTCTCCACCACCACTACCACTACCGTGACTAATACCACTTCCACGACGACCAACGCGAGCGACTTAAAGTGCAGCCAGCCACCGTTCGGCACGATGACAATCACCGTTACGAAGGAGAACAGTCCGGGAATTGGGCGGAAGAGCTTCGCTTTCATCCCGCTGCAAATTGAAGTGCCCGACACGGGCGCGCAGCTGAGCATTCGCCCCATGATGTCCACGTACAGGTTCGTGTCGCGCGGGGAACGCACAGGCGCCTTCACCCTCTACCCCATGCGCTGGAGGTACTTGACGAACCTCAGCGAGCTCAAGACCTGCCGCCTCTTGAACATGGAGATGGTGGTGGCGCGGCGACTCATTGACGAGCAGGCAGAGCAGGCTTAGAAGCAGACTGGCGACGGAGACTTGATCACACAATCACACCCCCACACCGAAGTTACGTTCGGGTTTCAGTTGCAGAGGTGATTTGATCATACAACCTGTGTGTCCACTTGTTCAATTTTTTGGCCAATAAACTAAAACCTACCCGACAATGACATTTGCAGTGCTTTTTTTCTAAATTAATCGCCGTCACACCACGGGCTGGGTCAACTTATCAAAAGATCGTCACTTGTTGCAGTTCCACTAAAACAAGGCGCAGCCGACACAAACAATGTGGGTGCGTCAATTAAAACGTAGTGGTTGTCTGTGTTGAGGTTCGACTGTCCTATCGAAAATGCCTACTTTTTTCGAGTTAAAGACGGCACCAAATCAAGATCGAATGCCAAAATCCCTAATCAATAAAAATTTCATTCGGTAAACCCAGTCACAACCGACTCTAAGACGTCCCCAATCTTTCAGGTGCAACAAGGTAAACACTTAAAAACATTTTCATCTGTGATGAAAAAACCGGTTTACTCACAATAGTAGCACTTCATGCTGTGAAGTCAAGCGGCTGAAGATGGGTTACATATGATGACGACAATTCAGAGTGACATGAACGGTAACCCAGTAGCGAATACTCTTCACGGACATAACAAAACTGGAATTTGTAATCATTTATTTGTCTGGTTAGGTCTTAACAAAGAATGAGTTTGAAGGAGGAGTGTACACTTGGTACCATTCAGAATACGGGGTTAATTTAGTAAATCCGCCCAATAGGACTAGCGTTGTTCAAGATTCAGAGTTTCCTGGGGAACGAGCTTCAGTTCAGCCACGGTCAAGTTGTCAGCGGATTCTGCTGTTAACTGAAATTGAAAAAATGCAATAATAAAACCCTTTACTTAATTTTTCAAAGTAGTCCGTTTACTCACATCAACGCGGGGGAAGGTGGTGAGGAGTTTAAAGTCGTTAACACTGTAACCAAGCGACTCCATGAAATTCTTCAAGTCAAGGAGCGTGTCCTCGCCGCGAAAACGTCGAGTGATCATCCCGTTGCTGATTGGCTGCTGCTCGGTCTTGGGGAGGTGCTCGTAGGAGGGTGGCGAGGGCATGACGGTGGGGAGGCGGAAGCGGATCGTGGCGATGCCCGGCGTGCCCGCTGGCGGCTCCGGCGGCAGAGCGCGGGTGCTCGCGACCTGCCGGTCTCGCGCCTCCCGCTGCGCCGCCTCCTCCTGCTCGCGCATCTCGCGCTCGCGTCTCTCTGCCTCCGCCTCTTCCCGCTGCTTGGCCTCCAACTGTCACAATGAGAAAACAAAATAACGCCTACTGAAATTGTTTAAGTAATAGAAGTTGCATGGGCGCATTCTGAGCAAATTTAGTTTGTGCAAAAAGCGGGGAGCCGCGAAGTTAGTCTTGGAGGCAATGAAGTCATCGACGTCTATACGCGCAGCTTCCAGCCTTTTGAATTGCTTATCCACTAAGGCGTGATTCCGCATTGACCCGGTACACAGGAGAGCTTCGTCTCAACACCCCATCACAATGATCCACAAGAAGTCCTGTTTTGTGTTGTCGGCGGGCAAGCTGTGAAAGGCGTGTGTTCATACGTTGACCTAGAAAGTTGTGTTCGGTCAAGCTTCCAAGTTTGCAAACGCTTGAGAATAGTTCTTCGGGCGACTCCTGACTGGGCTGATGCAAGCCCCTGTTGAGCCTTCACTCAGCATCTTCAGACTTTCGATGCCGGCCATCCGAAAGACCGCGAACATAATTAAAAAAAGAGGGGGTAGCAATCGTGGCACAGACGTGCCAAGTACCTTGAGACGATCCTGCTCCAGGGACTGCTCGTAGGCCCTGTCCTGCTCCATGCGCATGAACTCGCGCTCCGCCCGCTGCTCCTCCGCCATGATCTCGGGCTGCAGGCGCTCCTGGTACATGAAGTACTTCTGCCAGAGTTCGCCGACCACGTCGGGGGCGTTGAGGTTGCCGCGGCGCGCCTTGGGTCGCGCAGACGCCGCCGCCGACGAGGAGGAGGTCAAGGCGGCCTCGAGGGAGGGGAAGGTGGTGTCCATGGAGGGAGTGGCCTCGTTCGTGTGCGCCGACAGCGACGACGACCACGAGAGGGTGGAGGGTGTGGTGGTGAAGCCGTGACCGGTCAACAGCGATATCACCTCATACGAGCCCTCCAACTTGCAGATCATGATGAACAGCGGAAACTGGTCCACCTGCAAAAAGGGCCGGTTTGACACAGGCTGGTTGGTGCGTGAGTTCATGCAACCGTGTGGAGTCAGGTCCATCAACCCGGCCGTCACCCCCTCCTCTCCAGCCAATAAGTCACCCGGACTGCACCGATCAATAACCTCCACTGCTTAGACGTGATCTTTAATGCAGTGATTGTGACATCTTATTTTATCCTTGTGTGCTTCGTGCCGCAAATAATACACACCCGGTTTAGAGCCAACATGCCTCGACCTGGAAGCCGTTAACCGAGGTCGCAGAGATCATCCTTTTTGAGCCAACAGTGACGCGTTTAGTGTGAAGTAAGCGAACTCGCAGTTTGGTGGCATTAAAATCGGATTGTGCTCACGCAATGAGCGAACTCGCTGCAGAGATGTGATTGGCATGTGTCGTGTGAAATCGTTCCTGTTTGAACGGGGTTAGTCGGCCCCGGATTGACCTGCTTGCCCCTCCCCCCATCACACACACACACACAAAACCAGGCAAGAGGTGGACGCGCTTACCTGCATTCGAGAGATCTCCCCGTAGAGGTACTCGAAGCGCGGTTCGAGCCACCGAAGAACCCGGGACTTGGCCGCCTCCAGGCTGACGTCCCACGGCCACACCTTGAGGTCGTTGGCCTCCAGGAATTGGCAGAGCTCTCGCGAACACAGCAACTGATTGCAGAAGATGTGCGCCGCCACGCTGTGGTCGTTGTGCAGGTAAATGAACATTGGCTTCCGCTGGCAGGGCAAAAAAGGAGACAAGCACACACAAGTGTTGGAAAAACAAACCGCGACCCACACGCATTCGCACTTCCAACACTAGAACCCCAATTTGAATAGCAATGACAAGACACAGTGGACGCAGACAACGCCAGTATTTGCAAAGAAAGCGCGAAGCGGAATGGGGCATGGCTTACGTCGGCGACACGCAGGGTCTTGAAGCACTGGCTCAGAGCCTCGTCAAAGGGGCAGACGATGAAGGGAGGCGTTGGATCGTCGGGGCCGGAGCAGTAGCGCTGGAGGAAGACGCGGTAGAAGTTCTCAACGGCCAGCTGAGGAGAGTCCACGAGGTTGGCGGGAACTGCAAGGCAAGCGAGCACAAACAATCGCACACGCGCACACACACATACACAGGCATCCAAACAGAAGCACCCCCCTTGAGGCCAAGGCAGTCGGCGTTTCACTCAACTCGCAACCTCGAAGGTCATCTTCGGCCGATGCGTGGAGAATGGAACCTGCATTGAAGTGGGTTATCCGATGGGCGCTGTGCTCGAATCAGCGAGTTGCTGACTCGCCGCTTTGAAACTCCACATTAGTCGTAAACCAATGAAATGTATCGTGAGATGAAGACTGTTGTGATTCGTGTTTATTAACACCCCTTAATTTGGTCGCTCCATCCTCCAACACAGGGTTCCCCTTGTCGCAGCATGTCTCCAGCCGCGCGGATCCTCAACTCCCCCCCTCATTCGCACGACTATTTACCTTGGATTATCCTCACGCCTAGGTCTCGATGTTAGCGCATGTACGACTCACACACCCGAGGTATAAATACACACACGTAAACGCCACACACGGCACAACGACACCAACGTGGTTGACCTCTGAAGTAAACGGTTGTGTCCACGTCCTCTCCGGTCTTTTTCTTCATCGTGGGTATCAGGGAAGCGCAATCGGACAAAGATTAATTCCGTGGCCCCGGCCTGGTTCAAGACCACATGCTGGGGCCCATAACAACTCATTATTGAATGGGGGCTGATAACACTGAGGCAACGTCACCTCATCCCAGTGTGAACGGCAACCGAAAACAAGACAAACGGCTTGAGAATCCCAGCTCGACAAACTAGGGACTTTACCGAGTGATTACAAAAGTGAGGCAAAAAGGAGTTTGTGTGGTGGGAGAACGGCAAGAGCGTTGGGACTTTGTGACTTGGAGTCACGCAAACAAGCCATTAGACTTGTTTGCGGTTTGTTCTAATGCACCGACACCCAAAATACTCTCGGGGTGAATAATAAGCCCCAGCACCAGCATCCACTGATCGCCCCAGAAGATATCCTCACTCCAAGTGAGTTAACCCATGTGACAAGAGAGAGAGTAAACGTACTCAGCGGAAGGGAGTATGGACTGGCCGTTTCACTGACAAATGTCAATCCATCGTTTGGATCATCGATGTCGGAGAGATTGGCAACCTCGACATCTTCGTCCATCGCCTACAAAAATCAATTAAACACCTAGCAATCCAATTGAAGACATTTGGTGGGGATGTTGTGAAGGCGTTAAGCTCTGCTTAGAAGCCAATTGCTGCCCTCTGGTTGGATTAAGGTAGACGGGCGGGAAGGACTTGTTACTTAATAAATACATGAATTAGGAATTTTACTAAGCGACCAGAGTGCTCAGGAGTAGCACATAACAGTCAGCTAGAGAATTAAACGTGCCGCCGATATCGCAAGGCTACATTGATCAAAAGCCAAGATTTCGTGAGCAGGCAGCCAAGCAACGGGGAAGGTGGGCGAGCGAAATTCACTTAATCAACCGTGCGTGTGGACATCGAGCGACGAAAATCGGGACTTTGAAGGCTTTAAAGTTCGGATTTACTGGTAAACAGACGTCGTGGCGACAACTGGCCGTACTCAACTCGCGAGTTCAATTTGCCCGTCTCAACCACGTATGTGGCTGTCTGGAGCCAATGAGGAAGCCTGGATAAGGCAGCCACAATCCACCTGTCCACCTCACACACACACACACACCACGATTCGAATTATTTTTTGTCAGAACCTCAACTCGTTCTACTTGGCTAAGGGAAGCAGATGTCGGAAAACAGCACCCCGCTCCGTACTTCCTTTGAAAAAGAAATGTAAAAAGAGCAAATCTCCTCACTTACCCAAAGTGGACGCCGGAAAAACTAAAGAAGGAATTAGAGGTTCCGTCTTGAACGTGCAAGGAAGGCAAATTAGGAAATAAACACACTGAAACCCACACGCACACACACACAAGAGCGACCACAGACGATGTATGCTGCATGAGTAAGTGATGGAAAATTGGCAAGTTGAATCGAACGAGAGATCTGGGTGCTTCTTGCACAACACGGATAACAAGTGGTGTAGCAATTGAACTGGAGGCTCGTATTTCGCATCACAATGGTTGGCAAAGAGGTCAACATTAAGGGTACGCGTCGCACACTACACCGGTGGCTTAGAAGCGCAGTTCCTTGCAAAACGAGCAGGTGAGAGGCGATTCAAAGATTTGGAGAGAACAGAGCAACCCCGCCACTTGATTAATCAGGCGCAGTTAACGCTGCACTACGTTTGTCAGACTCGCGCTAGCATTTGCGTAGCTAATTTGAGTTAGTCGGCACTGCGTGCAGGCATTTGATCAACTGTTGCTAAAAGTGTGAAATTCAGCCAACCTAAAGGTGTTATTTGTAAGTTTAGAAGAACAACTAATCTACGTGGTGCAGAGGAGGCGATTTTGAGGAGCAAGGAGAAACGTCAAGCCCTACGCAGGGTGATCTTTGTGCGTCGCACCGCTCAAATTCCTTTACCGCTCGAACAAAAGCCAATGTTTGTGAACGCCATGGAGCAGAGCAACACCGCACTACCAAGAAGCTGGGTGCGCAAACAGGCGCGACTGTGACAGCTGACGAATCAGCTGACTAACAAAACAAACGAAGTGGAGGGTGTGTTATGTTTCCACCTACGAATCCCACGCTCGTACAAAAATACTTACCAGATTGGTAAAAGAGGGGAGGTATCACGGGAAAAGAAAAAGGTTACACCGGTTTATGGCGCGTAGAGGATCCGCTACAACCACCTTGCCGCCCCAGCGTTCCGGTGGACGGGGCCTGCGGGAATCGGCATGACTTTCCGCGGTCACGTGAGCTCATCTTTACGCAATCCGGTGGCACGTGTGCAAAAATCGATAAGTGCGTGTGCGCGCGCGACGGCGAGACGTAATCACAGCGCGTGCGTGCGTGCATATGCGCGCGCGCACTCGCGTGCATGGAGAGCGGCTCTCGAAAACCACGCAAGATGTATTAGAGAGGGCGCGTTTCGTATAACGCTGCTGCTAAAGCCTGGACACGGCTTACAACATTTCTCACTTAGGTACTTGTGATACACGGAGGGCGAACGGTGGAGATGCCGTGGGACATCAAATCGGTACTAGAATTTTGCGCCGGAAGAACAGCCTCCAAAATGTCCTCACACAAGTTAAGCGTCCAGCCAAGGAGTGGAGAGCGCAAAGGAGCAGAAATTCGAAACTGACGACAACCCGACGCCTTACAAATTCGACCAATTATGGTAAGCAAAGCAGGCACCGACATGATCAACGCAAAAGTCATTTCTGGTTGCGAATATGTGAATAAGGACCGCGTAATGCCATCCGGAAATCTTAGCACATAACTTTGTCACCTTGGAAGATAATTACCTGGTCAAAATCATAGGAACCTCGCTTTCTGGGTCCGACTTGCCTCGGTGATTGACGGCTATTACCGAGAGAGGAGGTTCGTTCGACCGCTGATGAATCCTGCAATGACGCCGTTTGGGAATACTTTAACTAGAGGAATGAAAATAAGAGTTATAATAACCCGCAAGGCGGGAATTCAAGATGGCAAAGCGTACCATCATTCTACTTGGCTGGGCTTTCGCGCCCAAATGCTCGTTTACCTTAGTGGTTCAAACAAACGCAGACTTCCCCATAGAACATAGAAAACATGTGGGTGGATGATTTGTGGGACAAAAAGTTTATGACAGTGACTGTTATTAGTTACAAACAAAGATGGTTGGTTAATAACAGGTTAAAGAGCCGGCCCTTTTGATTCCCATCAAATATCCTTTGGTGTCACGTCCCATAGCAGACATACTAATAATCTAGCATCAACAAAGGCCGTGGCGACATCGAGTGGTGCGACATATCGGAGAATACCTCAACAAGACTTACTGAGAAATTATAGGTGCGACCTGACCTGAGGTTGTAGTGTTGAAGTGTATGGCTGCTGCTTGAAGTGGATGGCGAATTCAAATCTCTGACCATATCATCGAGACGTGCCCTTGACGTACATCCTGCTGCCAGAGACCATCGCTGATTGGGGACGGGAATTTGGGTGTCACGTTCAACTTGGCGTTTCAGAGCAGTCAGACTTGTAGTGGCGTCCAAGTGAAGATTCAGAAGACCGCTTCCGGCGCCGTTGGTGGTCACAGTAGTGTTTAACAACGGACGTCTAGGGAGGCGAATTTGTAAATCGATCGAGGAGGAGGAGGAGGGGGAAGGAACTTCGTGCGGGTTTACCCCCAGAACTCTAAAAATGAAAATCCGTGTAGTGGTGCAAAAAAGGAACACATAAGAAGGAAAATAAATTTACTCTTAATGATTATTTACTAGTAAAAACTACGATCTTTAATTTATAACAAAGTGACCGATCTTACAGGGGCCTTGGTTTCGTGGAAAGTCGGGCGGTCCAACAATTGTTGAGAGGGAGGTGGAGACTTCTGAGAGTAACCTCAAATTCAACAAAAAATGACAGTTTACTAGGTATATTCACAGTACAAAATAATACTACAAGGAAATACAAAAGATCTGTGTACTTTCTAAAGAAGCGCACACACAAGAAAACATGGTACATCAGGATTTTCAGAAAGTAAACGAAAAGTATTAGTACAGCTCTCAAGTTGTGAAAAACGCTTCTATGAAATAATAACGCAACACAGAAAAGGCTAAAAGGTACACAGACTGGACTGATGCGTTTGACAGCACATGAACTAGTTTCGTTCCCGACAATTGATAAAACTGAAGTATAGCGAAAAACAGTACTAGAGGAAACATACTAGGCATTCAAACATAGGCAAATGATAATTAGGCATATAAAATCATGTCATTGTTTAAAGCGTAAACTAGAAACGTACATTGTTGTTAATTCCACTTTGGTTTTTCAATTCGTCAAAGCGCAATAAAAATAGAAAAGACTTTCTATCAACAACCAATCCATTTCGAGTAGCACATTCAGTCAATTCAGTCGAATAACGGTCAATAAACGACTGCTTAAGATCGCCCACTGTATATGAGTCAGGGATATTCGGTAGCTTGGCTACCACAGAAGTCGTCTGATTTTCGTCAAGGTAAAATGTGATTTCAAAATTTAGAACCCTCTTAGGACGACGTGGAGGAACGGCTGGTGGAGATTTCGAACCTGACTGCGGAGAATCTAAAACAGGTAAAGATAATCAGTTTCAATACACACAAAAAATACTATGCAATACCGGCAGATTTCGTGTCATTGAGAAAATCATTTGCAGCTGCTTCAATATCCCAGTCAAATTGCTCAAGTATATCCTTAGCCAAATCCTCATCGCAAATGCCAGTTATTTCCTAAAGCTATATAGTAACCGCAAGGCGTACTTGAAACTGATTAACCAAATCCATAACTTATGTATAAATGAGGCTTCAAAAGGATTGGATACAAAACGATTCCGTCCAGAGCGGATTTTTAAAATATTCATTAAAACAGCACATTTGTTTTGAAATTTATAGTTTGTCTGATTTTTGTAAAATAACTCTTCTTAATCATTCACTAATGTATATTACTTACGTCTCGAATTTAATTGCAATGTGTTGTAATCTACTGATCAAGATATCTAAATATTTATAGATAAAAATAACTTCTCAATTATTTTCTATTAATTTGTCGCAAGCAATTAGTAGTAACATTAAAAATGGAAAAAAACGTTTGTCCGAAAAAGTATGCTTCACTACTTAGAATTTAGTTGACGAAAGACATATTTTTTTAACATTTAACTGAGAATTTTTTTGGCTATTATGATTTTTTGGCATATTTTTATAAAACATGGATGCGTTTTCATTTTAAAACAATATTTATACATCATGATACAACACTCTTGCACACTTTTCACACACGTAGTGTCACTTTTTACTCACTAAAAACTTTGGATTGATGTACATTTTTATATTAATAGACAACAAATATTATTGAATAAAAAAACCTGAAGTGCAAGCCTTACTTTGATCATGCTTTGTTCGAAAGTAAAGTACCGATTGAAAATTGAACCTAATCCTAAATTAATTCCAAATTCATTTAAAAAGAGGGATTGGGAAAACTATAATTCTGTATTTTTTAAGACACAGCTAGCCACAAAAAATTAAACTGAGTTTGAGAGTTTTTTTGTATCTTCATTGAAGGTAAACTCAGAAATTAAATTTATGTATGAAGTTTAATGATTTGAAATCCTGAACGACATCATTGTCTGCAATCTAGAAAAATTTATGTGAATATATTCCTTGTAACTTGCAAAATCCGTTGAAAGATGGCCAAAATTATTTAAAATTTTGATGTATTATGCTTTAAATTCTTGGGATTCTGATGTTTTCTTTTTTTATATAATTGTGACCTCCACAGTGTTGAATGCGCCGTCATCACTAAATGTATCTCGTTCTTCATGCGTTAGCATTCTCCAAGTTCACGGAAATTTACGTGTATTTGATTATCTCGAAGTGACGTTTTTCTTCTTCAAATATGTATTTATAGACTTTTTGTCAAGATAAATACGTTGATTTTGCATTCAGACTATCACGACGGACTCATCTGCCCTAGGGAGTGGACTCTTCACCATGCTATCATCGCTTCGTCTAAAAAGTAAATCAAATTAATCTGTTAGATATTCCCATCCGTTTTGTTAGGAAACAGATAACGTTACCTCACTTGATTTTGCACTACTCCTAGATATTACAACACTCCTGAATTTCATTTTGTACGGTCAGTTTAACTCATATAAGAATTGGTATTTAAGTCAAACGGAAGCTTAAACAAAGTTGATGGCAGGTGATAATAAGCCTTAAAAAATTCTCAGTGACCACTATGGCAATCTGAAATACATTAGCGCCTACTTCAGCTATTTGCATTAGGGTAAGAAAATGTAATCACTCATTAGCGAGAGTCATATAACAGCGCTTAACAGTGTCTGCACAAATTTCACTAACGTAAACAGTGGATTCCTCAAGTAGTAAGGGGACTCAAATACATGGAGCAAAAACAGACTGGGTCAGCACATTCGGTGAATCAATCACCGAGTAAGTTTTAATTCACTACTTTTACAAGATCTGGTAGGTAATAATGCTACACACTTTAGTTTTAATAGCGTATCACTACGTGACAGCGCAATCACACAAACCTGATCCTAGTGGAGGCGCACGCCACAGTTTTCGGAAAAACCAACAGCCCCGTTGCGCATTACCCTATGCGTAAACAGTCTCGTGTGAATGAGGGGGAGTGAAGGTAGGGGACTCGTCAAAATGCATTTAATACTGAAGAGTTTAAATAGAGGAAAAGCTGGAGGGTGTGGAACCGGGACAAAACCGGAGCAAAATAGGAGCTATCATTTGCGGAGGGCATCGCAACGAGGAGTGTAAAAAACGACTGTGGAGAACGACGCGGCAAGAAGAGGGAGATCAGTTTATCTGAACAATGGCGCTGCTGCTGCTGTTGCTGCTGCTCCACCCACGGTTGACACACATGTAGCGTAGTGTGGACGACTAAGTAAGAAGCTGGTGAAAGTTGAGCACTAGGTCCGTGGGGTGAAATTCCGCACCTCGTTGAAGATCAGCTCTTTCCACTCCTCCACAGATCGACTTTGGTTGTCCACATCTGGGTCATAGCGTCCTGGAGGTGGCTGCACAAAACAGCGGGTTAAATAACCTGAATGTTACTTCCGACTATGCCTCGTAGCTGACTTATGTAAGGCCCAAATTTTCCACGCAATTTGTAACAAATTGGAAAATTCATTGATAACGAGGATACATTAGCAGACGTTTCTTGGTCCCTGTGTTTCTTTGAGTAAGCAACTATCTCAGGACCCCCTCTGTCAACAACTTCGCCAAATGCACACTTCACTGAGTTGCTAGTGTTTTGAGCCAAAAAAACCCAATGGGTATTTGCGAGGAAATAGCAGGGTCACCGCACAAAGTAATGGAACGCACTGAACGAAATGGTGGGAAAATAGAGTTAGGAGTTCGTGGCAATTCACGCGTAATGGAGTTACGATTCCCTGGCAAATCGAAATCAAGTAACGCAGTTTGTGGAAACGGATTGGAAACGAAATCTACCAGGCCAAATTGTGCGCATCAAACAAACCCGCTTACGCCGTTAATTTCGGCATCATCACTCCACAGACTGACGTAGGGGTGCCTGAGGGCGTCGTCCACGGAGATCCGCTCCACCGGATCAATGACCAGCATACGGCTGAGGAGATCACGTGCTGTCGCCGGGTTGAGATCCGCGTGTCGCTGAAGGAGTGACAATTATAAGGCCGATAAGGTATGATTTGAGCAGAAATAAATGCACAATGCGAAAAACCAATGAATGACCAAGGAGAACAGATTGGGTTGACCATGTGTACGGATGTCGGCAGGCACAATATTGCGATTCACACTTGTGGAATGCCAAGAGGGATCGATAAAAATCCCCTTCGAAGTGAGCTATTTGACAAAGCACGGTAGCAGTGAGTTACAACTGCCTTTTTGTGTCTGGGATTCCGCATGAGGGACAGCTTTTCTTTCACCATAGAGAAACCAGGCGACGCTAACTAACCCGACTGGCTTCGGGAAAGACCTCGTCAGGAAACATGGTTTCAAAAGACCGTCGCGGCACGTGAGGTCGAGAGAGAACGTAGTTCCTAACATCCCTGTCGAGGCGGTTGATGAACTCCATCGAGGGCGTGCCGAGTTCGGCGGTGATTTTGGTCCACTGGTCGATGTGGTCGGTGCCCGGGAAGAAGGTGCGTTCGAGGACCATCTCGGCAAAGATGCAGCCCACCGACCAGATGTCCACATTGGCCGTGTAGCCCATTCCAAGGATCACCTCTGGAGCCCGATAGTAACTAGGGGCGTGAAAAGTGAGAATAACAACACACAGCGCAGCGCGTTGGCGCAATTTGGCCTTGCAAAGACAAGTATTAAAATACGTATACGCCTTTTCTGTACGATGGCAGTACTAAGATCTTGAAATTACGCCAGTAGAGAATTGACGTGGCGGAAACGGAAAGGGTCTAGAGGTGGTTGGATCATTCGTGGGCGAGCGCTAGGGCTAAGCTTTCGTGCAAATGTGTTCGTTTGCCTATTTCGTCGTTTTAATGACGATGGGGTTATCGCGGTACCATAGAAATTTGCTGTCGAATCGTGCTGAAGTAGTGTCTATCGGAGATTGCTACTGCGATGCCTTTCAGCACTAAATTAAGCACACAAGACTGTGAATGCACGCAGCTTCGTTGAATCTCTCTCTCTCTTATATCGTCATAGCAATACAAACAATTTTCCACGCGACAAATCACCACGGCCCGTGTGTGCTCCAGCCTCTTACACCAATTACCGTTGTTAAACAAACGCGAAATTTCGCAATTAGCAAGAACACCTCTTTCCAGATTCCCATCAGTATAGTAAAAAAATTGTATGCGGAAACACAAATCACAGGAAAGGAGTGCAGATCACTTGGCAGACGTTGGTGATAACACATTTCGCAACTATGACGGCACGCAATTTCGCTGATCCAGCCCCTGTGGAAAACTTTGCCGTCAGTTACACGGCACAGAGGCCTCCACAAGAGCACACAAAGGCAATGTCAATTGCGAGGAAGCTGACATGCGAAAGAAGACGTGCATAAACGATCGAACAACGGGGGCGTGTGGGTACGCGAGCACCTACCGTGTGACAACGTAGGGCGTCATCATGAAGTTCTCGGTGCTGGATCGCGCCAGACCGAAGTCTAGGATCTTGAGGGTGCAGTCGTGCTTCACGGCGATGTTGTTTGGCTTCAGGTCGCGGTGGATGATGCCAGCCACGTGGAGGTGCTTCACTCCACAGAGAATTTGGTAGAGCAAAAACGAAAACCTCTCGTGGTCCAACTCCATGTGGATCACCTGAAGTGATCAACAAAAGCAATTTATTTAAAAAAAGGAATAACAAGGTGTCGCATAAATTTGGCCAACCCAACCAAATGCGACAGGTGAGCCACTTTACTTCTAAACCAGGTATTCATACACGATTAAGACAAGTAATTGCGATGCTGTTCTTGGAGGTACGGGGCTTGGATGACAATACCCTGCAAGAGACCTGAACATTCGACAATTGGAACGTCGGGTTTACAAGGTAGATGCATTACTGAAGCGAAAGTTTAGTAATCGAAGTCCACGCAACAGTGGGCTCGAAGTTCCTTAATAAAAGGACAAGCGTAATCGCCTACATGACCGTGGTAGATTTACAAAGTTGAAATTGTCTAACTGCCTTATTTACACAACCATGTTCGCTTTAAGTTTGATGGGTTAATTTTTTTAAGAAAGGAGATTTAATCGAGGCAATCAGACACGCTTCATTCCCACCTTTTACTTTGTATAATTTGCTTGAAATGGAGTAAATTAAATTTTCCAAAGACATGAGCAGTTTGTAAGTCTCAAAGTGGGACATTTAGCCATGCCGAACAGAGGTTTGATGGGAATTAATGAAAACTAGTAGACTTAGAGAAACTATTAGACACCAAAAGAGCCAGATTGTTTGGACAAATATGCGCAGTTTTTGATTAATCTGAGTTCGACAGGCAGTTACAAAATGCTAGCCTATTTGGAACTAGTTTCAAGAACCGAGCGCACACAGAAGCCAACCGGGAATGTTCTCAGTCTAAATTACTGATTTTATGACGTCAACTAATCAGATGCTACCAGCACAACCATTACAGAACGTAGAAAATTGTAGTTCATCGTACGTTATGGCAGTCAAAACTGTCTACCTGTTATAATCCCAGAACGCACAAGTATAAAAGATGTCCCTAGCACTCATGGGAAAAATCGACCGATGTGGAAGCGAGACCAGGGGGAGGAAGTAGGGGGTCAGGGTGTCCCGAGTGGTGGACAATCGAGAAGACCCATCGTTGTGGCTATTCAACTTGCATTGGTTAAAGGTAGTTTGTCAGTTTCGAGCAAATGGCTCGACGAAACGCAGGCAGGAGTTACATACCTCCAGAACATATCACCATCACACCACATGGGGGAGAAAGGTAATTGGCGAAAATTCATAGCACAAGAGAACCCACCCAACCGAAGTTACGCAACAAATACCAACCAACATAAACAGGGGTTTGGAGGACATAAATGCACAGTGGTGGAACAAAACCCCCGACTAATGGCAACATGTTGTCAGAACAAAGGCGGAGCCGACATTCCAGGGCCAGTAATGGCGGAAAAGTGAAGAGTGGGTAGGTGTGCGCTTGTGCCCAGTGCCAGGGGTCCACAATACAAGCGTTGGTTAAAAACACAACACGCCTGTAGCCCAGTCAATAATCTCGACAAAAATACTTGTCGACGTCTGCAATGTGGAGCAGGAAAAAGGGGCGCGAATAGTTAGGTGATCACGACGAGGTCACCACCACCATTGTCGGCGTTGTTTGTAATATTGAGAAACAAGGTTGCGGACAATGGCATTGTTCTCTTCAGATGATGATTAAAACCACACAAGCAACCGGATTTGGAGTTTGCATTGCATTTTGAGAGAAGTAAGACAGACAGACAGACGAAACAGGATGTATCATAAACTCCCTGCGCTAGTTACCAGTGACCCCAAGCGGTCGCAACGACAATGTTTGTAAATCAGTAGCCAGAAAATGGGGAAATTTCTTCTCAACAAGAGAGTCAAAACGGTGAATCTGGTTAAACGATAAAAGACTGCTCAAGAAGAACACAAAGGAGCAAATATAAGGGTAAATTACATGTGACAAACTCGCGTCCATGAGTTCCATAACGAGATATACATCTTGGAATTCATCCAGTGTTGACTGAGGGCTGAAGGCATCCAAAAGGGATATGATCTGCAAAGCAACAATAAGCCGATTAAAAGCATTGCATTCCAGCAAAATCGGGTGTGTTTAGGTCCTAACGGGTAGATTTTGTGACAAGAAGCTGAAAATGGCTATTTTAATGTCGACACGTGCATATTATCAAGTCTCCACAGGACGCAAAAAACGGACAGTTGGAGGAGACGAGCCAGAAGTTTTTATCAAACTTCATGTGACACAAATATAGTAGCTACTTAAAATGGGTGTGCACGTGCGTCCTCACAAGGAACTGCACAACAGGACAGCCAGAAAGTAACAGACAGCAAAACTGACATAAATTGACCTTCCGCCTTTTACCACCAAACGATTACATGGAAGTGGATTTTGTGAAGTGCTACTCTTCAAGCTTCACATAATTCAAAAGGAAAGTGTCGTTCTAACATTTTGGCAACTTCCGTCATTAATGTGCTAAAACCCAATCACGAAGATTTCGTGATTACGTTGCGCACGCACCACCGCGGGGGTTAATTAAACAGCAAAAAAAAACACATTAAAGTATGCTTTAAGAGGGCAAAAATCTTTGACAAAAAAGCACACCTTAGGCTACCAAAACGTGTAGATGTCACAGCAAACAACGAGTGCGACAGCTAAACGCAATCAAAGGATAGCCATAAGTGACTACGTGGTAGGTACGACAAAGGTTCTCATAAATGCCGTCAAGGGTGAAACTTCATCGAGAGTCAAGCGGGCCGGAACATGACAGCACGTAGTCACATAAGGCAAAGAGCAAGAAAAACAATTTGAGCGACGCTCCCTAGGCCCCTGGAGCAACGCCTGTTCCAGTGATTGAAGTCAACGGATTCGGTGATGGCTATCATAAAGGCGACATGAGGCCTCGTAAACAAGATAATAACTCGTGTAAGACGATTTTAACTGCACCCATCTACACAAATTTCGCGCCTAGCGGCAAAACATAAAACTAAACCACCCAGTACTAATACCAGCCGTTTAAGACTAAGCACAAAAAAGGAAGTAGCCATTAAATATCGGGTTAGTAAAACCGTGATCTATGCCTATTACCATCTTAAAAATGACTCGAAACACCTCAGTATACCAGAAACATAGAAACGGTAGAAAATTTGGAGGATAATAGATGAACATAGGCGCAAATTTATTACGAATGCAGAAACACTTACATTTCGGTGGTTGACAAGTTTCATTAGGACGATTTCGCGATATGCTCGCTTGGCATGAGTTACGTTCTGGAATGGATGGGTTAATTTTTTTATCGCGACCTTTCGTTGGCAAAGCGAATCATAGGCCGAACTAAATAGACAAAAGAAGGGAGGTAAATGGAACCTGAATTTATGTTAACACACTGAACTGCAACAGGGAACCAAACGAAACTGACAATGGTTGCTTACCAAAGGCAATTCGAAGTACACATACAAGGAACAAACAAATGTACATCGAAAAAATTTGAGCAATCAATAAACAAAAGCCAATAAAGAACTTAGATGGACAAAAAAGACACCAGGACAATAAAGTATGAGATTACGGGACGCTGTTCATAGAACTGTCATGCGTAAATATCTGGACATAATTATAAAAAAAATTGTACTTTAGAACCATGAGAGTACTCATACAAAAAATAGGAAGGCAAACAATGAACGAAAATTTTGTTTTCGTAAAAACGTTTATCAATCATCTGTGCATCTGTACCTTGCAAGGTTTTGTAAAAGGATGCACACAGGCAGTATGGTTTAGGAGTCGTGTGAATGGCAAGTTCAAGTTTCAATAAAAGTGTAAGGTAATCAGCAGACATAAAATCATTACATCACCTCCAGGTGTGTCAATTCAAAATAAGTTGAGGTGTAATGTCTTAGATTATACCAAGTGATAAAGAATCTACCGCTAAATTTCAAATAAAAAGACTGTAATTGAAAAAAACCAGAGTTTTGAAAACCACACCTACACGACATAGCCTTGGGCACCGGTTCCGATGGGATGCAATCCAGAATATCGATCAGGTATAACAAATTGCGATTCACCTACAGTCTCAATATGAAAATTTGGAGGAATTCGAGGAATGGAGGGAGAGTAGTCGGTTGGATTATCCGTAACCTGCATCTTAAGGCAAGAAGGGTACAAGAACAAAAGCCAAGGCTTCCCGGGGTCAACCAACACGAATTACAGAAGACCGCCAGAAAATCTGTATGCTAAAACACTTTACAATGCTATTATCTTTTATGTTTAATATACAGTGCAAGAATTGTTGTGTGTAAAATCGCAGTGAGTTAGAAAATATCCGGCACTAGAGAGATCCTTGAGTTATTTCTCAAGAAACCTACAACGACTTCTCAAAATAATGGCAATTTTTGGATATATTGTGGAAATAAATTTGTATAACTGTAAATTTTCAACTAAACTTTATACTTTGTTCAGCCGTGAAATTGCCAGCCTTTTAAAAAAGAAACACGAACATGGTCGCATTTTGATTATTCAATGCCTGGAAACCGATGATCCGGCAAAAAAATTTCATCAAGGACAAATAAAAAATTTAGTCAGCATAGATTTTGCACAAAACACATAGAAGCGGGTTTGGCTTATGTGTCTGCAAGGAAAAACTAAAGTTATTCAAGCAACACTAAGATTTCGAAACCATTTGCCAATCACAGCCTGTGGAAAAAATCAGGCTGTTGACAAATAATTTTCATAAATCATAAAGAATTGACGTGCAAATTGTCATTAGCAAAATGTAAAAATGCTCATTTTGCAATTCGGGTGGCTATATTTAGAAGGGTTTCTTTAAAAGAATCAAATAAATCTTCTATTTTAGTCGAAGAATAAAGCAGGTTTTCCAGCAACATTCGAAGAGTAATATAAGACCAAAAGCATGGGAGCATTCTGCTGCTTCTTCTTCATTTTGATTATTTAAATGCATAGTTTATTGCACAAAATGCCATTGATTAAACAATCAATATTTCTCTATTTAAATATTTTGGTGTTTATTTCAGGTACACTTTGGTGTATGAGTATGATTTTTTAAGCATGCCTTGAGATCAGGGTTTTGTCAGTATTTTTTTTTAATTGTATCATTGTACACTTTCATATTTTCACTTTTGAAGCAATGTGAACAAGGAAAATTAAAATTCAAAGCAGAGCGAAATGTGCCGAAAATTGTATTATATATCATTGTTCAGAAAATGTTGTGGTGTATATTATGGGCTTAGCTAATCATTTATTGACATGTGTCAATCGAAATCAATTGTCGCAGTTAAAAAATTGAATAAAAGCATCTCGTTAATGGACGGCGATTTAAATAACTACTTGGCTTTCAGGTGGTTCTGACTAGTGTAATGTTAATAGTGCTTCTTTGTATTTTTGCTTTCATTTCTTAGATGTAAAGAGAATCTTGTGTTGATCCACCATGATCTCGAAATGATAACCAATACTGTTTCATTTGGTGGCTCAAATATTTTAAGACGATGGTTATTTCAATATTTTTATATTTTTCATAAACGTATTTTGCTTTGAATATTGGAATAAGGTAACACTGCAACATTGCACTGAAGATAACATCCTGGAACACAGACGTTGTTATGAATGCAAAATTAAGCTGAAATTAAATCAAAGGAGTTATTTTGCATCTGGAAAAAAGTTTAGGTTTCTCAATTTCTTTTAAAAATGCATATAGAGAAGAGTAGGCATTATTAATGCAACACAATCAATTCTTTTGAGACCCGTACATCGGCACTTAATCATGCTTAATTTTTTTTATAGTTAAAACAGTCTCATCCCACATCAAAAAGAAAAAGACAAGAATAGATCCATCAATTGTGAAATGATTTAGTTCGTGCCATTTTTGTATGGCATTAGATAAGAAGAAGTCCTTTAGTAAAGCAGAGAAATTGAAAAAACTGCCGTGGGCATAATCTCTGGTTAAGAAGAGATATTCAGTAAATTTAACTTAAAAGTATCACCTTAGACGCAAAATCGTCCTCTAGAGGTCATATCGAAATATTTCAAACTTTACAGTGCCAGTTATTGTTATTCATAAATTGCATGGCAGAAAATATTTGTTTTAACGCGCTTCTTATTAGCATTATACCCAGTTATTTTCATACACCATGTCTTCTACTAAGAGAAAGACTCTTTTAACCGTAAAGACTGATACTGATACGTTTGTACTTCATGACTTTCTTGCTGCTTTGTCAGAATTCGGACACATTGATCCATATCTCGACTTTCCAAGAGAAAGAAATGTTTTTAATGCACCAAAAAAGGTGACTGTTGCCGTGGTTACCGTAACCGCTGCGTTTTGTAATAATTTTTCCCGTCTCAACTAATTAAGATCAAGAATATTATTAAATATTTAAGTTAATATAAGCCATCTTAGTCATATGGAGAATAGACATAAGTGTTGTCTTTCCTGCTTTTGTGTTTACACGTTGGAATGCTTAACATGATCTAGACTGTACAGAATAAATATTTACAATATTTTGAAGTCCTGCAGTTGTGTTGTTAACAATATTATTTCCAAAGAAATGTTTTGATCTTAACATTGCCAAATGTCTCATAATGGTGAGTCATACAGTGACGAATTCCATCCATGATGTGGTGTCGTTTAGAGAAGGCCACAAACTAAAATTTTGTGTACTGATTTGGCATACATGGAATGCTGCGTATCTGATGTGCATTACTGTGACGTGATACGTTTTAATTTTTAAATTTAGCCCCGTGAGAAGTCATATGTGTATGACGCTGTCTTTTCAAAGGAAAGTGGATTTAACCCAAAGCAGCGTAGAGATGATAGGCGACATGACAAGATGATCGGACTTAGTGTATGTCGGGAGGTCAGTCAGTTTATGGCATTAAATTTGGATTTGTTGGTTCACCTCGATGCTTTCATATATTGTTCCAACTACTTACCAAAATTTTTAGCTTTGCACTAAGTCACTATGAAAGCCATTACATGCTATCGAAATGAGAAAGTAGTAAAAGTAGTGCTTCCTGAACATTTACTTTACATAATTAACCTGTAATTATTATATTTTATATGATGCCCTTTTTTCCTTAAAGTATCAACTATTCTACTAATACATGGCTAGTAGTTTACCGTTTCAGGAGGACGCTAAACCTGTTCCTTCAAAAATGTCCTCAAACATCGGTCATTATCTGGATAGGCGATGTGATCCACTTAATCGTTCTCACACACGCATTCACTTTGTGGGGACCGAATTTTTTCGACGCAACGGTGTCGACTTCAAGAACCTCATGGAAGACCAAAAGCACTGATTTTTGTCTTTCTTTACAAGTATATTGATGGAAGTAGATATTGCTCCTTTTAACTCAGAATACTTACTTCTTCTTCTGTGTCCGATTTATTCTGAACATAGTCTCATGGTATTTTTGACTTTGCGATATCTTTAAAGTATAAACTTATTTGTGGGACCTTCACAAAAATGTTTCACGACCTGACTTAATTAGGTTCAAACTGCTGGCGAAGAAACTGGTTTAAATCAACTTCATGTGGCCGACCCCATACGAATTGAAGGTGACATACGAATGCACAGGACCATGTTGTCATTTCGGCTGCCTTTAGCTGAAAGTTTTGATAAATGTTAGTAGGCATGGAAAGGATTTTTTATCTACATGCCTTTTGTCAAATTACTTTAGCCGGGAAAAATTTAATCAGCACTAGATTAATATCAGTGAGGCTATTGCGCCAACGTGTAAAAATCGCAAGTTAGGTCCACATTTATTTGCAACCCGGGACTTAAGACTTACAGTGCTAGGAACGCAGACAAGCGAATAAAGCAATTTATTTGCTTCCAGTTCGCACATCCTGCTGGATTTCCTTGTTCTCCATCTGAGACTTGATTGTTTTAATACTAAAAACATAAGAAACTCGATGATGTTTAATGAAAGCAAGCAAGTTGATCCCAAATTTAAAACAAAAAGGGGAGGGATGCTCACTTGCTATTCTTAACCGTCAACTGCCCATTGCGTTCAAGAGCGCTTCCTTGCATTAAATGTGCTTACATGACATATAAAACTGCCATTCACTGCTTTGTGCTTCCACTCAGCTCATCGCTTAGCTACCAAACCTGAGGCTCTTTAAAATAAACATTTGACTATTCCAAAAAAACATGACAAAAGCGTATTTGGGCAATTTGGTAAAGAAATCTATTTTAACTGATGGATCAGGTGGGAAGGAGATTAAGGAACGGTAACCTAAGTGCTGCGCCACCTTGAAACCACTCACTTGTGGACTTTGCGGGGCAATTACCACTTTGATTTCCCAGTGGCAATTCACCTAACCTGACACAATCTAATTCCTGTGAGCAGTTTTGGCAATTTCCTTGCACAGCTATCCTTACTTCTTGGACTTAAGCACTAAGTCGTAATGCTTGGCAATATAAGCTGCTGCAAATTTCCATCAAGCGTGAATTCTGGGGTTGCCTCCAAGTTTGAAGTCAGGGGTTCTAATTTGGTGCGCTATTCTTCTGTGCCCGGCTGAACCACCCATCAAACCGGTGGCCAATGACTTCGTCACTTCAATGCCTTAGTGAAAACATTGCCACCTCCTCCAACAAACCTTCGTATTCAAGCACAAAAAAGGGACAAATTTAAAAACACGAACCCAAAACTCGATCTAACAACTCACCAACTCCCAACTGATTCCTTTATTCGCGAGTAAGCTATCAGCGAGAAATGGTAGCACATTTATTATATCAAACATTAAAACAAAAGATTGGAATTCTAGTTTGCCTTCTTTAGGCTTAATGCCCTGTCAAGTATTTTTCAAACTATTTATTAACTTAAATGTCAACTCTTGATTTAAATTTCATTGAAAATTGTGTTCTCCTGAAGCAAGCCAGAGTGATTTACCAGGTGAACTTTCAAAGGAAGAAAAATTAGGTGCATCATTGCGGTGTCCTTGCGCATCTTGAAGGTTTCGATAGGTTCAAAAGACTCACCCCTCTCCTGGATGAAGTTGAGAACGCGTCCAACGATGTTGGATCGTCGGCTGATGTGTTTGAAGTTCAGTTCATTGCGGAAGCCACCGATTTCAGCGATTTTGCTCTGCTCGCAGTGTGAATCCGGCACCGAGTAGCAGCCGGGGTAGGCGAACTCGTCGGCAGGATTGGCGATTTGCGCTCGCGCCGCCGAGGCACCGATTCGGCGCCAGTCCGCGAAGGGCACGCACGGCGGGCGCAGCTGAATGCGACATTTCTCCGGGGTCTCGTCGTCCAGGCTTGTGCTGCAGCACAAACGCAACCACCGCATAACCTCAGACACACTTTCACCTCCAAATGTAGGGTTGTTAAGGAGTTAGACGCGGTAAGACAAGTCCGTACCTGTCCCACGTCAACACTACAGCACTGAATTTTTCCTTACATAATTTTGTATGCCACATTTTTTTTGAAATTGCACCTAATTTACTTCCATTTCTTTTGAAATATGCCAATTTTTATGTATGTAAACAGGGAATACTATTCCGAGCAAAATCAAGTAATGGTGGATAACAGAATAAAGAACACTAAAGCCTTACTATTTCTGATCCTTCAGCATTTCGTAGCCCTCCTTAACTACTTGTTTAGTCTTTTTGCTTGGTTGTCCTGTGTGGAGGTCAATCATGACTTCAATGAGGTCACGTGTTTTCAACTGTGTCCTCATCATCTTCAGAAGCAGCTCCATCCTAATATCTTCCGTAACCAGACGATGATTGGTCCGCACTTTTGGGACTTTCTTGTGCGAAAAGTGCTCTGGAGGAGTTTGTCGTTCCTGGGATGTTTTTTCCGGCGCGTCCACCTTGACGGCAGGCAGTGTTCGAGGGGTTTTGGAGAATTTGCTAGTCGTTGGGCCATCCTCAGACACGTTCTGCTTCCTGCCCCTGAGGAACATGGTCACCCTCCGTTGATTTGCTCCTGCGAGTCTTTCCGTAATGACTGGGACCGTGGTTGGGGTCTCGCAAACGGTCAGAACCACCGGATTGATCAGATCCACACCCGATGCTCCCTCAGCCTCGAGTCGCGTTTGTGCGCGGGCAGATCTTATCGGCGGAATGACGTGCAGTGTCATATCGACGGGAGCAATAGTCTCTACCCTAGCTGAACTTATTCCACCATAATCCGCTGATGTGTATTGTCGTTTAATGCCAGGCGCTGGGAATAATGACGGCAATTTTAGACGTCCTGAGCGCAACAACGCAGTTCTGACGTTTCGCGACCCTACGTGCTTGGACTTCCTTTTCTCATACTTTTCACCTTCAAACAAGTGATCATCTGGAAGAGCTTCATGGACTGCCGCTGTTTCTTTGAGTGTAATGTCTGTTTTAGCAACCAGGGGTGGAAGTTTCACTGGTGGCTTTCGTGACGCCTGAATCTGCTTTGTCGCTGTTAGCCTGCGTTGCTTGGTAATAAGGGGAGTTACCCTCGGAGACGCCTCGACCTTGCTTCTCCGACCTTCCTCGAAACCTCTCACCCACTGAAGCGGAGCTTCGTCTGACGTGGTTCCTTCAGATTCAATGGTAACATGTGGAGTGTCGACGCGCTGTTTCCTAGGCCACACAAGACGGGTAAAAGAAAGCACGGCGGATCAAAATAGCTGGCCAGAGAGATGAAAATGTACCTTTGTTTGGTTAGTTTGACATCAGCCATCGCTCGTGTGGCTTGGTCATATGCTTTTCTCTTTGCAGCAGCCGAGGTATCCTTGAGCTTTTCGTAAACTAGAGCAAGCTAAGAGCGGCACAAAAAGTACTGAGTTGTAAAAAGGTTGTTGTGACTCGAGTTGAATCACACTCATTAATCCGGTCACTTAAGCCTCCGACACAGGATTCCCCTGTTCGCGACATGTTGCCAGCCGTGCGGATCTTCGAATCCCAATCATTAGAGCGATCGATTATCTTAGATTATCCTCACACCTAGGTTTCGATGTTAGCGCATCTTTGACTCACACATCTAAGGTATAAATGCACATGCGCAAGTGTCACCCATGACACAACGACACCAACGTGGTTGAGCTCTGAAGTAAACGGTTGTGTCCACGTCCTCTCCTGTTTGTTTCTTCATCGCGGGTATTGGGGAAGCGTAATCGGGCCCGAGTTAATTCAGTGGCCCCGGCGTGGCTCATGACCACGTGCTGGGGCCCACGACAAGGTTTTGCTGAATATCTAACATAAACGCTATCATTTTTTTCTGTGAAGCCTTCTTGCAAAAAAGTCTAGATTTAACTTTATTAGAGTGTAATGAAGTAACAGGGTTAAACTAAGAGCTAATTCAGACCTGGTTCAGACGTTTTTTTAAGTGTTGACATCTCTCTGTGGGGTCAGAACTTAAAAATCTGCTTTTTAAAGACTCAACTACAGAGATTGCGTGGATGTATGGTTTAAGCATTGCTTCTAAGTGATGAAGTCAAACTTGCAGGGCCGACGTATGCCAACTCAGTTTAGTCAACAGTGGGATCAATTTACTTGCTGTAGTGCCAAGGCAGAATGCGAGTCCCTTGGAAATCCAAGCAATTGGTCTGGTGTCAGAAGGTCCGAATCGTCGGCCATCTCCAGTCGCTTCAAAATGCCCTTGACAAGATGGATTTGAGCAGGGCATTAGAGAGGTGCTCGCCAATGCAGTTTCAAACTAATATCTTTCAACAGAGACCTGGGCTTAAGTAATATTTCCAGTAGAAATAGTACCGATTATTAGTTTTTGATGGGGCAAGATTGCACCAAAATGGGAAACTCCTCTGTACAGATTGTCAAAAAAGTACCTTACGTTCTTAAAATCATAGTCAGCGTACATTTTAAATAGGCTTTTTTAATCATAAATGGACAAAAATTTGTAGAAGTGCAAATTACTTCGACGTTCGCCGATTTTCTCCAAACAGGGGTTGGAGCTTTCATCTAAAAAAATAGTTAAAAAAATGACTACTGTGCATTACTTCAAAAGACAGAATAAAGCATTCACATTTGTGGTGGTGGTGGTGGTGGTAGCTCTCGAGTCGACTATTGTGAGCACATTCAGACACTAACTGACTTACCAACCTCCAATAAGCAATCTAAACTAGTCCATTTAATTTCGAGCAAGTCCATAGGAATCGGGCAGGGGCTCGAGGATATCCCATTATAAATGACTCACCTTTTGCATTGTCTGTTAGGTGAAACGTGGTCTTGAGGTTTAACCCCACTGACCGAAAAACAGCAATTTCGTCGACGGTAATTTAGCATGTGCCATTGTTTTTGCACCCTGACCTCCTCTGATATTAAAAAACAAGTCACTTTTGCTCCAGTTATGACT